CGCTGCATGAGGTTTTTGTGACCGAAGTGTAGGACCTGGCACTTGTTGTTGTTGAACCTCATGCCGTTGGTCTCAGCCCATCTATCCAGCCTGTCCAGGTCCCTGTGCAGAGACTTCCTACCCTCCAGCAGATCGACACTCCCACCCGACTTGGTGTTATCTGCAAATTTACCAGGGGTGCCCTCAATCCCCAGTGTTCCCCTTCAGGGTGAAGAGGAGGATGTAAATCTGCCCTGGCTATCCCTTCACCTGGCCCTTGGCCAGCATGTACAAAGTGTTCACGCAGTCACTGCCTGGACAGGCATGTTACCAGCCTCCAGACCCAAACCAAAAAATCAATGGCAGTTCACCCAACTTCTGTTGCTCCATTGTTCTCTTTTCTGATACAGATTTTGTGGCTTCCCTAAAGTTGCATCTATGTAATCTTTTCATCTCCCTGGCAAGGCACAGCTCAGTTCCACCCACCCCACCAAGTCTTCTGAACTTCCAGTTTCTCTGCAAGCCCCTGTCTGTCACAGCAGATCATGTCTGCCACCCCCTCACCGCATCCCACGTGTGTCCTGGGGGAGCAGGGCTGATTCATTCATACAGAAAGGAAACCTCCTCTCAAAAGCATCTCTGAGAAGCGCTATCAGTCCACATCTCTTCTTTGAATTTTATGTGCAGGGAAATGTCCTGGAGGACTGCTGTCAGGGATGGAAGCTTTATCAGGAGGGGCCAGCCTACAAATGTCAATCCGGTGGCTCTGGGTCATCTTTTCTGGAAGAGGAGAGGGAAAACTGCTGATATTCCCCTTGTTGTGATGCCAAAGTTACACTGCAGTATTTGACTGAAGTGCTTGACTTGGGGGTAAAAACTTGTTATAGGGTGGCTGTTGCAACGAGAATGAGCTGTACAAAACCTGCTGCTTTATTTTAGTGCAGAAATTCCCCCTTTGGATATGTGTCGTGTGTGCAGTTCAGGTGCCTCCTTCTGCCTGCCGTGCCCAAATCTGCTACAGATTCTCGTAGCTCATTGACAAGCCAGGCCCCTGGCCTGGACACGAGGCTGGAGCAGTTTCCTACAGTGTGGAACATTTTGGGGAGAGCGGAGGCAGAGTTTACTAGCTTCACCCCCTGCATAATCCAGACTCCCACTAAGGAGGCTGACGTGCAAGTCAAGCAAGTGCTCCCTTTTCCTTTTCTGACCTAGTTCCCGTTGGAGGCATTGCCGCAGAGCGTGACTCCCTCCTGTGGGAAGCGTGGAGCTCACCGCGCCACGCAGCGCACTGGCGACAAACCCTGTTGGCAACTGCTGGATACCCATCCTGTCGGGATGAAGAGCAGATGCTTGCAGCGGGAGGATGGATGCGTCCGTGACTCCCGAGAGAAGCTGTTCCCTGCAGGGGTGCTCCAGGAGATGTCTGCCGGTGGGATCGTCTGTGGTGCTGCGCGCTGTCCCGTGGGACTGTGCCAGGAAGGGGTAGGGAGCAGCAAGTGATCCACGGTGCAGGGATCTGCACTGGTCAGCGTTCAGAACAGTAGATGGAGGTGCTCTCGCCCTCTCCTCCGCTTGGTATTTGAGGCCACATACGTGCTTGGCAATCCTTAGCAGCTGGAAGGGAGAGGTGTTTGCAAAGAATCGTTTTGCAAGGCTAACGTCGACAGCAGACTGGTCTCTGGTTCCTTTTCTGTAGCAAGCTGCCAGTGGCAGCTGGTTTTTTGCCAGGAGACACCGGTTTGGTTGTGGGACAGCCTGCTTGGTACAGTGTGACGATGCTGGGCTAGAGGAGCCTGGGTCAGCGCTGCAGCGGGCACAGGGATCTTGCCCAGTTATTTTTGTTCAGTATTGCCCCTCAGGTGAGAAGAGAGCCTTCTGGCCCCTTGTGCCGTCATCTTAACGCTTTCAGGTGTGCTACATAGGAAGTTGCTTATGAGATGAAAGGTGGGTTTCTTGTAACCTCCTGCTCCAGAACGAACGCATGGGAACGGTGGCTGGGATCTTCTATCAGTTCTCTCGGGTGAGAAATACCTTGTTTCATACAATGCCAGGGTGTATCTGCTTGCCCGTATCAACCCCTAACATCCACAGTCACTCTCCTATGGATACGTGCGTCTGCCTTGAAACTTATGGGTTCCTGTGCATAAACCAAACAGTGCAGCTCTGTCAGCTCCATCTGTGCCAGCTTTTTTTGCTTTCCCTGCACTCTTTTCTGTGAATTTTCTTAGGTTAGCGGGAGTATTTCCCACACAACCTCAAGGTATCGCTTACTTATCAAGGCCTCGGTTTAAGTAACTTCTTCCTTTCCTGATCCTCCCATCTGTGACTCTGAGCTGACGGCAGTGAATCTTATTGCCGGGGGAAAGCTCATCATAAATCTCCAACAGGTGATGATAGGTGTGAAGGAAAGTGAAGGTGATGGTAGCTTCCTCCCTTTTGTCAGTAAGCATCCTGTCCCATCCTCTTGCTTGGATCAAGTGCAGTGCTGGCATCTCCCAGGCGCGTTTGCTGCATGCCACAGGGGGTTGCGTGTAACGCGCAGCATTTTCCTTTCACAATAGGGCATCTGCCATGGATGTCTTAAGAAGTTTGTTACAAATCCCTGTGAGAATCCATGAACTAGGAGCAGTTGATTGCATTCTCTCGCTCTCTGTATCTGGAACTGATTCCAGTAGCTGCAATAAGAGTCAAATAATATGTTTTATGTTCAGCAGCCTCACAAATTAAAGGGGAATGAGGTTGAATTAGTTAATGAATATTAGCAGCTCCCATGCAGAGCCAAGAGTCAATAAATCTCTGTGAGATCTGACTCTTTCAGCCATGTTCTGCCAAAGTAATTAATAAAAAAAGTTGTTAAACATCAGCTGTGTTTTCCAGTGCCCAAGGCTTTTGTTTGAGCCTCTCCCAAATTTAGGCTTCCCCTTTTCTTTTTGGAAACTTGTCTCAGTGGGCCTGCTTTTTATCCTGCCTTTATCCAGCCTCCTCATCTGTCATCAGGATGAACGTTGGGTTCTGTGCAGGCAGTGTCTCTTCAAACGCATTTCTCAGTACCAGAATCCCTCTGCAGTCCTACGTAAGCTGGTTTAGCCCTCACTCAAGCTCAAAGAGGCCTGCTTTGAGTTAGCTGAGAGGGCTGACGTTTCAGTTCTAGGCAATCGGTTTGGAATTAACACTTAATTTGATGAATGGATATGTGACGTGTTCATTGCTCCTCTTTAAGACTCTCAGCAGACGGCGACACATGTTGCTGCCCTGTCTAGATTCTGCTCTAATTCAGAGGTGGTTTCAGGGGCTCTGTGGGCTGCCGGTGTTCTTGCTAATCAGAAGGAAGCAATTAAATGCAACTTTGTCAGGAAGCATTATTTTTTTTGTGTTAATCTGTAATTTGACCGTTACTGTTCGACTCCCACTTTTCCTGAAGTATCTAACCGTAGGCAGCTGGAGAGAAGATATCAGGGGTTACCTTATTTCACAGGAAGAACCAGAGCAATGTCTTGGGTACGAGGCTGTTTTCTCGCTGAAGGTTTGACTAATTGCAAGGAGGACTGGGCTGGGATTTGGGGAAAAAAATGCAGATTTTTTTTGTTGTTTGTCATGGGACAGAGCACACCTCCTCTGGTTGCTTGAGTTTATTTCACCTACTGAATTCCCCGCCTCTGTATGTTTGCTGGCAATAGGACTATGCTCGGTCTCTCCCTTGCACCAAAGAAGTTAGAGGGCAGAGTGCCTGTACTGGGGACCTCTGTATCTCAGAGGCTTTGTTCAGCCCTGCTAGTGTCTCCAGAGTCATGGTGAGAATCCTGGACCTTCTGCAAGGTCCCCTGGAGCCAGGTGCTGCAAAGGGCTGCGTCCAAGGGGATGAGTGGGTGGGCTGTCATTGGAGTGCTTGGTTTGGGGTCTTTGTACACAAGATGAGTTACAAGGAAGTCACAACCTATATGTGCAAAAGTTTGTCTTCCAGGTAGAAACTCGCTCCACCTCCTGACCTCCCTTCTACCCATTCTGTCACCTCTTCTGACAGGTGCCCATTGCTGCGTTGTAGGGCTCTGAAGATGTCAAACAGCAACACAACACAGGAGTCTCTGGAAATAATGAAGGAGTCTGAAAAAAAGGTGGTTGAGGAGTCTGTGAACAAAACCAAATATGTATCCAGGTCACCAAGCAAGGAGGAAGCAGAGAAGGATGGGGGGGAGGAGGTCAGCGTGCGCCAGGAATCTCAGGTAAGTGTGCAGACAAGCGGGTAGTCCCTTCTGCCAGCTTGCGGAGTTAGGCCCTCTCCTTGTACTTGGCAAACATGACCTAGTTGCTATCCATTCGGAAAGGGGCCGAAGCCTGTGCTACCTCCTCCCAAGGGGATGCCATGCCATACAGACTGTGGTGTTCACAGGCTGCTCTCTTTAGCTGAATCTGTTCTGCTCAGAGTGGAATAATTTAAATATTCTTTGAGCCTGGGAGGAAATGAGACTGATGTGCTCCTGGGGGCACTAATGTTCAGTCCTCAGGTTCTAGTCCCATGGCTGTTACCTCCCTCTTATTCCTTTCTTTGACCTAAGAGTCAGTCAATGACTTAATGTGAAGTGGAGGCATCCCAGGGAGGGCTTGGTTTCAGGAACGGTGCTTGGCCATTGCTTTGCTGCTGTTAAAAATACCCAAATAGGAAGTGAATGTTTTGGGATTTCATTTCAGCAAGGAAAAAAAATCTGTGCAAACATAATTTGCAGGGTGCTGGGACTCATTCCTACTGCTCTGCTCTCCTGTCACATGTTCTTTTGGCTTAGTATTAAGGTTGAAGAAATGCCAACCCTCAACAACCTGCTGAATGCTTCTGCATTTAAAGCTGGTGGCTGGTGCCAGATTTGTTCAACCACTGCGTGGGCAGACACCAGCATTGCTCAGAAAGAGCCTGACTTTGGTCACTTTGTAATGTGGAATGGGGAAAGATTTCTTAGAAGGTAGGGATAACAGATAACTCAGTATCTCTTAAATCAGAGCAAGAGTGTGTCTCATGATCTGATGTGTTAGAACCCCTTTATGTCCCAGGAATGGTAGAAAACTTCTACTTTTCCCACTTAGAAGTGTGTCATGCACCTCCACGTGTATGCCCTGTGATCCCACAGTTGCGCTGGTTCTGTCAGAAACAGAGGAACTGGGTCTAATCCATGTGAAGTTTGCTTAAGCAGTTTTTGCCCACCTGGGGCCTGACAGGACAGCTCTCCAGGTCTTCCTATTTGCACGTGCTTTCATTGCTGTCAGGTAGAGATTTTCTTCAGAGTCATTTTACGTGCTCAGTGTTGTGCTGCCTTGCACAGCAAATACCATTTACAGTGTACACATTCAGATTAAGCTTCTTGCTTTCCCTTTCCTTTCTCCACAGAGGCGAACTTCCAGTCATGGACATGCCAGAAAAAGAGCCAAGGTATGACCTCTTCTGATGTCCCATTCTTCTTTTGGCCATTCTGATCCGAGTCATGATCGCAACCTTAGGATGGTGCTCTCAAGTCTCTCCTGTCTCCAGAAGCAATGTGCAGCACGTGATGGTTCAGGATAGTAACTTTCCATGCACTGGAGCACGAGTGCTCCTTTTTAACACGCACTTACCCATGAAGGAACTGTTTGCTGCTATTAACTATCACACCTATCCCCTCCCCAGAGCCCAAAATGTCAGAAATTAAATTCAGAGGTCTCACTGGAGGGACAGGGCAGTGCACTGGCTTGTTACACCCTCCAGTTAAAAATCAGAGTTGACTATAACTGCCTGGTTTCACATAAGCCCCTTTTCTTCAGGGAATACCATGTTTGCTCCCATAATGATGGCACATGCATGTTAGTGAATCCAAAACTTTTGCTAGTGTTAAGCAACAGGACACCACTGTTCTAGAATGTTGTTTGTAGGCAAAATCTTGGGGTAAAAATGCAGCCATTGTGTGACACTTTTTTTTTTTTAATTAACCTTCTTAGTCTTAGCCCCAGTTTTTCTTTGCAAAATTTGACAATAACTACTGAAGCAGTTTGTCAAAAGTGGCCACAAATTTTCCAGGCTTGGCAGTTACAGAAACATAGCGTAGTTCAGGAGTCCATCTAGGATTCATTTAGTCCAACCTGCTACTGAAAACAGGGTCAGCTATGGCATCTGACCAGGTTGCTCAGGGCTAGATTTTAAAACGGTCATTGGGAGGGTGAAGGTCTGTCTCCACCTTCTGACCCTTCTGCTTTTTTTTTTCTTTCACAAAAGTTCAAATGAGAATGAGGACAGGTTCTGCCCTGAGGCATGGGAGAGAGGGGAGACCAGTTAAATTTGTAACAGGGGTTCTGCCTGGGTTTGGTTTTGATGAAAGTAATGTATGAAAGAGATGTGCTGCTTATGACCTACAGTGTTCAGAAAAAATACTCTAGTGGTTCTGTTTGGTCTTAAAAGCCAGGACTCTGTGCAGTACCTGAACAGGCTGTGATTCCAGTTCCTGCCCTGTCCGTACTTACGGCAGAATGTGTCTGTGCACCTCAGACCTTTCTCCATATTGTTGATCCTGCCTGGGATCTCATGTGACTGGTTGGTACATTTTTTCCTATTTGTCACCCAAGTGAGTCAACTTGCCAAGAGTCCTGAAAGTGCAGGTTTTATTTTAAGCATTTTCTCTAAGCGCTACTACATTACCCAAGATAACCAAAGTCATTAGGTCAGACAGGCGAGGTGTAAATGGGATGACAGTCTTCTAATTAGGAACAGTAACAATCTTTACATCTTAAAAAACAATAAAATAGTTGGTTTCAGCTATATACTTTGTTAGTGATTTTAATTCTTGCTGAGTGAGGAGTGGAGAGGCTGGAATTGTTCTGGATGAAGAGGTCAAAGAGCACATAAATTAAGGCAGTGAACTTTCTCACCAAAAATTTGGCTGGTTCAAATCCTAATCAAAGGCTGAAGGAAGAAAATAACATATTTGCTCTAGGACTCCAAGCCTTTGTATATTCCTGTTTGCTGCAAGAAGCTGGTTTAGTAGTCCTCCTTTTTAGCAGTTTAATTAACAATGACTGCATGACTGGCTTGGTAACGCAGCAGCATGAAGACATGAAGTGTGTGCATTTTGGCTGAGTTGTCTTAACTTTACTCTTTCTTTTCCTTCCCCAGTCTAATTCAAAACTTAAACTGGTCAGGAGTTTGGCTGTATGTGAAGAATCGTCTAGTCCCTTTGTAGATGGGCTGCTGGAGTCCCAGGTAGGCCTAGAATGAGACAAGCTGAGGAGTGTGGAAGCCCAGAAAATCCGTGTCTTGCTAGAAGTGGTGTCCTGTCCCGGGCTTGTGCCTCTGAGAGCCAAGGATTTCCCACAAGAGGCTGCTTTTGAAGGAAGCGGTCATGCCTGTGAGCACTGCTCGTATGTGCACAGTCACAAACCTTCTCTTACGAGGAATTATCTGCATCAACTTACTGGGCACCCACAGCTATTCAATTTGTGCAGGCTTGTGCCCCCAGAAATGGAATGGCACTTTGCCTTCACAAAGCCCCTGGGGTTTTGGCCGTCGGAAGGAAGTTTTTATGCAAGCCCTTTCCTTGCAACTCAGGCTGCAGTGACTGAAAGCAGGCAGCTCACAGAGAAGTGATATGGAGTGCCCTGCAGAGATGATCCCCATCTGTGGTCACTGTGGGCAGTGAGAGAGAAGCTGAAGCTTGAAGGTAGGCAGCAGTCAGAGAGGCACTGAGAACCTGTCTGCCCTAGCAAGAGCAGATAGGTTGAGCTTTCTCTGCTCACACAAACTTTAGAAGCACAGGATGATGCAGTGTGCAGAGATCTGAGCTGGCTCACTGTAGATCAAGTTGTGGCTAGGCTACAACCTGTCTTCGTTGAGCTGACGTAGCACTGCACCATGCGGAGTCACCAGCTTACGTCTGTGGTGCTAGATCAGAGACCTCTACGCTACTTTCCATTGACAAGGTCAAACCTGGGCTGTGCCAGAGCTGAGTGCTGCCCAGACCACCTCACCCTTGTGGTGAGTGGGGTACTTGGCCTCTAAGCCTTCCTTGTGTGAGAGGTTGCTCTTCTGTCTTTTGTTTGGGTTTCACTTAGAACTGTAGGGTCACTAGGAGGATTTTTAAAGCAGCTGTAAGCACACATCATGGTGCCACAGAACTGCACTAGTGTAAAGGCTGAAGGATGGGGAAAGATCAGCTGGCACAAAGGGTAGTGGTTTTGTAGTCAGTTTTAACTTGAATTTGAGCAGCGCGTGATCTGACGTTGCCTTTGACAATCCTACTGGTGTTTAACATTTCTTCCCATGGAGCAGAGTGAAGGCTTACGCCATGGTGGGCAGTTGCAACTCAAGAGAGGAGGCGAAAAGAGATATCAGAAGGCACCATGTGGCACAGGGACCACTCATCACACCACATATGCTTTTAGCTGTGCATTCTGTTTTCTTCTCGTGCCCTTTCTCTTTCCAGGTTAGACAGTAGTCTTACTGGAATGGTGCAGGACCTTCCTCACCTTAGGCACTCCTGAGTCCTAAATGTAATAGCATTTTATCACCTTCAAATAGGGAAGCATGTGACTTAAGATTCTGAGGTGATCCGGGCAAGGCAGGTTTTCAACAGTGACAAATGCTGTTGAGAGGCCCCTTAGAGCCTGATGAAGGCTTCTCATTGGGAGGAGGGTGAGGAGAGAGACTGCTTGTCTGCTCTCAGAACGGGACCTCTTGTGAAATGTCTCAGATCTGCGACCTGAATCCCCTGCCCTTCTGTGTTGCCTTTCTCGGCTGCCAACATCTCCAGCCATGGCAGTGGTTCCAGGGAGTATTGAAGTGACTCAGGCCAGCCTGGTTTGTTTTGTTCCAGGACATCATTCAGTTGCACATTAGCTGCCCCTCTGACAAGGAAGAGGAAAAGTCCACGAAAGATGGGGCTGAGAAAGAAGAAAAAGACAAGAATAAAGAAAAGGCACCAAGGAGAATGCTGTCTCGAGGTCAGGTGCTCATTTGAACAGGGCGGGTCCTGTCTTACCTGCTTTGAGGATTCTGCTGGCCAGTGGTACAGCTGTTGGAAGCAGAGCGGTTATCTCTGCTGATGACTGTATGGGAATGTATTGTTTTTATAACATCCTTTCTGGAGCAAAGCCTGGGGAGGGAGGAGGAGGGTTTCTCTAGGTTGGCATGTACCCCAACAGACTTGCAGGTTTCCTGCATAGTTGATAGTGATCTGGTGGCTTTTTAAATGGGCAGATGCAAACCCAAGAAGACCCACTGTATATAGACCTTTGCTTTCAGTTTAGATTTGATTTTATAAAGCCTGCCACAGGTGGCAAGATGTGAGATTGTGAGGAGGTGAGCTAAGTTTCTGCTGTGTGATCCTGTGTGTATGATTTTGGGGCACAGAAATGGCTAAAAGAGACATATTTAAGCTGGTGAGCAAATTGCACCTGAACTCCTTGTACAGACAGCACCTCTACACTGGTGCAGATTCAGTTTCACTTACTGTTTTTTCTGCAATTACTTTTAAATTAAAAAGGGTGTGGGGAGAGGGGAAGAACAGGGCCAGTGGGGCTTTCCAGTTCAATAGCTTGCAGGATCAAAGGGGCAGAAGTTGCTTGTACAAAAGTGTGGTGTACGACACTTGCAGGGGCCTCCTGTAACAGCGTGGGATATCCTGAGTGTGCTCTGAGTGGTTGGTTTTAGGGGCAAGGTTTCTTTCCATGAACTCATCTGATCTCCCTCTCTCTGGCATCCTCCTAACGGGGCCTTGTGCTCTTAGTGCCTTGTAGGTGGTGTACTGATCCTCCTGCTGCCCACAGGGGAAAGGGTGTACAGTCCCTGTTTTACAGAAATTTTACAGATTGAGAAACTTGACCTAGAGGTTGCATTCAGAGCCTGTGCTAGAAACTGGATATGGGTCCCAACCTGTGCACTTCTTTAACAAGGTGGGCCTTTCTTCCAGTCTTCCCATTATGAATAGTCAGTGCTGAGAATGAGTCCGAATTTCTTCGAGAGCAATGTGGGGACATCATCCTCATGCGTGTAGTGAGACACATACCTCTTCCCTTCGGTCTGTTCTACTGCAGTGTTTTGTTAATTTGTTCTGCTGCTGTTGTTTTTCAGATTCCAGCCAGGAATATACAGACTCCACTGGAATAGATTTGCATGAATTTTTAGTAAATACACTGAAAAAAAACCCACGGTAGGTCCCTAGTCAGTAAAATAACTTGCTGATGGAGTAAAGGGAGGGAGTACCTGGTGACTGATGCTTCTTTGATTGACTCTTAAACCCATGGTGTTTGTGTGCATGTGTGTGTATGTATATATATATTTACATACTTTGGGAGGAGTGGGGACTACAACAACTACAGAAAGTACCTGAAAGTTTGGTTTACTTTTTGGAATTCAGAGAGCGTTACTAGAGCTGGGGCAGTGTAGAAACAAAAAGCACAACTGTAATTTTATATACTGCAGTCATTCGAAACATGTAATTGTGTATTACAGAGAGAGAGAAAGAGGAAAAATAATTTGTTTGAATGCAAGCAGGAAGGAATCTTGATTGCTTTAAAACCCTTTCTATAAGTGTTTGTCAAATACTAACCTCTAAAGGAACTGCTGCTGTGTCAGTAATAAATGTAATCAAGCCAGATGCTGGCATAGGAATAGCAAAGCTGGAGTCTCTACCAGTGGAGCTTCCAGCAGAGCAGAGATTCAATATTAGCAAAAGCCGAGCACTGTTAGCAAAACAACAACTTTAAACTGAAAAAAATCTGGCAATTAGTTTACAGTGTGTGGAAAAAATGTGGAGTTTTTTAGTTCATTCCTGTGGAGGTTGTGTGAAGCCTGGTTAATAGTGTTGCTTGCTCCATGTATTTGTGACTTTTCTCTGTTGCGGGGAGGGAGTTACCAAGCAGAGAAAGCTGTGTTTCACTGTCTCCAAAGGTGGCCTTTTCCTTTTTCTTTTCTTGACAGGGACAGAATGATGCTACTGAAGTTAGAACAGGAGATTCTGGAGTTTATTAGTGATAACAAGTAAGTGATCATCAAGTTTGTGTCAAGTAAAAGAGGTTTGTAACTTACAGTTTAGGAGGTTGGGCACCCAGGGGAAAAGGGAGTGTCTTTTGGGCACAGTGGCTGGGAGGCCTGTTCTCTTGTACATCTTCCACCTCCTTTTGTCCATACACAAGGTTTCTGAGTATCATATTGATTGAGTATCAGTTGCTTTAATACCATATCCACTGTGAAGGAGATTAGTGCCATTGTGCTTCTCTTCCTAGCGTAAATTGGGGGTCGAGAAACCAAGGGCAGGATTCACATCCTAGAAGGTGAGATAAGACAGGTGTCTGCAGCAGAGCTTGCAAACTTCTTTATCTACTACGATCAGAGAAGTCACAGTATAAGTACTAATTCTGGCTTCTGTTCCTGCTTAGGAACAAACGTGTATTCCTGTACAAGCTGGTCTTGTTTCAGGAAAGGCCTGTTCAACTAGAGCCCTTGCATCAGCCCGTGTCTGGCAAAGCAGTGTAAGACCATGCTGGCACTCAGTGTAAGAAGCAGCACTTGAGTCCTGACTAACTGCTTGGAATAGGTGTCATGGTCTGATCTGGGATCTGGTTAAGGCATCTCTGGCCTTGATCTCTCTTTTGGTGTCAGATTATCGTTGCCTGTTTCAGGGCCTTCTAAATTCTAATGCTTTCTCCCCTTTTCTCAGTAATCAGTTTAAGAAGTTCCCTCAGATGACCTCATACCACAGGATGCTGCTGCACCGGGTAGCTGCCTACTTCGGCATGGACCATAATGTTGACCAAACTGGAAAGGCGGTCATTATCAACAAGACCAGTAACACACGAATGTAAGGGGGAGGGAGGGAGAACAACTGGGCTGGCATCCCCTTCCCTTCCCTGCATGGTGCTACATGACCCCAGACACAGAGCCCTGGCATGGTCCAGAGCAAGATGGATTCCACACCACATTTTTTTGCCTCTATAAGAAGGGCAAGCCCCCTCTCTAGAAGAGAAGAATCCTTCACTTCCAGTCCTAAGTGTATGTATTTGCAAACCCTTTCTAGCTCTCTTTAGTTCTGAGAAGGGGCAGGAGCTCTTGTTGCCATCAGACAGAGGAGAGATTTAAGACAACAAACATCTTTGCACACCCCCTCACAGCAAAGCAGTGGTTTTATGAAGACAGTTCTATGCCTATTTTTGCCCTTCTAACAAGGGCTGGTTCTTCCTGCAGCCCTGAGCAGAGGTTCTCTGAGCACATCAAAGATGAGAAGAATGCAGAGTTTCCACAGAGGTTTATCCTAAAACGAGATGATACCAGCATGGACCGAGATGATAATCAGGTAAGGGGTGGCAATGGAGTATCTGCATACTTTGTGAAAGTCAAATGTGACCTTCCTAAGATGAGAACAACTCTAACTTTCTCTTGGGTTTCCTGCAGTAACCTTCTTTAATAGAAGCTTCCACCCCACCCAAGCAGCAGCATCTAGATATATCATGAAAACTTTACAAAATACTGTGGATATGCATGAAGAATTTGTGTGGATTCTATGGGGGGTACTTTTCTGTACCCTGAATATTGACTGGTGGCTGGGCCAGGCTTTGAGGTGAAACCTTTGGCTAAGGTTTCCTTCGAAATACCCCAGAGCTGAGTATTGCCAAGCATCTCTCCCACTCCTTCCCAGGGCTTGCAGCGAGTCAAGCTGTGAAGTCATCAGGACCTCGCAGTGCTGCTGGAAGGAGCTCAGCAGCATTGCCAGTCATCAGAGCTAAAAACTCTCCTGAATCTCTGGCTGCCTTCGGGCTGTCACAGGTGGCACCACACCCGTAATGCAGAGCTACCTTGTTCATCTGTGGCTGTTTTCCCAGTCTGTGTCAGACAGAATCTTGAACGTCAAAAGCAGGGCAAGAGACAGGAGACCTCTTCACCAGGGATCTCATGCTCTTTGCTCTTGCAGCTCCCATCTTTACATCGCCCCAGCATACCACTATCCCTTGCTTTGGGTCGTGTTTCTGAACTTAAGTCATCAGGATGGGGAGCTGGTCATTGCAATCAGTATCAGTTTCTGGTTTCCCCATGGTGGCATTCTGCAGGTGATGCAGCTACCCACGAAGCACAGAATCCATGACTGAGCAGGAGTTTGCTGTGTTGGCATATGCTCCAAAGAGTGGCCTTTAGCTTTTGACCCCTGGGAACAGACTGTCTCTCAGAAGCACATGGTGATATTCCTGATCTGTCCTTTCCAAATCAGGCAGAGTTCAGGCAGAGTGGTTGTGCTTGATCCAGGAGGTGGAGTGCAGTAAGGCCTCTAGGATGTTCATCCCTAGGCATAGGTGTCCAGAAGGTAGGTTCAAAGGCAGAGACTGTGTCATTGCATCCAGGCATCATGCACACACTCCGTAATCTGCATCCACTTACACTGCTATATAAAAATAGCAGCAGCTGACTGCGCCCCCTGCTCCCATTGGCAACTGCTGACCCGCTGAGATGTGTTTGTCCCTTCAGATCAGACTCCCCTTGCAGGATGGGAGAAGGAGCAAATCTATAGAAGAGCGAGAGGAAGAGTATCAGCGGGTCAGGGAGCGGATATTTGCACGAGAGGTAAGCGTGGATGACTCACTTGCCAGGTACCCTCCTGGAACTTTATGGCAGAAAGTGTCCTTGAGTATACTAAGAGGTCAGATCTCGTCATTGCCTTTTCTACAAATTTCCCAGTGTTCTTGGTATCTGCCATTGAATTCCAGCTCCTAAGGCACTGAAATAGAGGAGCCACACCTCCACTCCCCAGTCTGCTCCTTCCCTAAATGCCTGTTTCAGGGAGCAATAGATGTGTGGGATCTGACAGAGGAGGCAGTTTTGCTCCTTGCTGCCCGGCAAGACTATAAGCTTGTGCAGCGGCGTTTCTGGGATGACTACCAAATCAGTCAATGAACCTGAAAGGAGCAGCAGCTGTCTGTCCCAGCTTCTCTCCAGTGCTGCAGCCTTGACCTCCTGATGAAGCAGTGCTGGCCTTGGAGTATCAGGCAGGGCTCTGTGCCTTTACAGGATGAGTCTGAGGAGTACATTTATTGTCTGTCTTACGAAGTGTCCAGCTTGGTTATTGCTTTCTTGGGATCTCTGCTCCCTACGTGGAACTCCTCTGAGCCGGAGCTGTGTTCCTTGCTCCTGTCTGGCTCAGAGAGGCTGCTGTGCTCTGCTGTGTTGAGTACTGTCTGCCAGCGGGAGGCAGCTCTCCATGCTGTGCCAAGTGACAAATGGTGGAATCGGGGACGATTCCAAGCACCCATCTGCCCTGGATCATGTTCAAAGTCCAGCTGCTTGCCTCCTGCTTTTGAGTGTCTTGGGGATGACGCCTTTCATTTGTCCTAATGGGAATTGCCATGTGCCTGCCCACGGAGGATGTTGAGGCAGCCACTGTGCTGAGTCCCTCCCTAGTCAAGTCATCAGGCTTCAGCTGATGACTCTCCAGCCAGTTGTGATCATGGACGTGTCTTACATGCACAGGCCCAAAGCCATCCAGAGATGTTGGTAGCTCTGCCTGTAGTCCTGGACTAGAGCAGATGTTGGCCCATATTAGCACCACGCTGGGTGGGCATGTACTTACCCTTGTTCTGTGTTTGTGGGCTGAGCCAGTGCTTTGCATCTGACTTCCAGAGGCAGGGGTGACTATCACAGGGTGGACTGGGCTGGCTTTGAGCCCTCTGCCTTTTTTTCATGGCTCTGCTAATTGTGCCTGCATTTACAAATGGGAACCCTTGTATGTCTGGCCTTGATATTTCCATTGACAAAGCTACTATCACAGCTGCCTTAGAGCAATGAAGTAGGGAGTTGAGGACTCAGATTTGCAAACTCCTGAGAGATCTCAGGGTTGCAGGTATCGGGAAAGGTTCCTAATGAGCCTGGATGGAGAGCCAAATGGGACTGGTGTGCAGGAGGCTCAGCAAGACTTCTGAGTGACCATGTGACTAATGCACAACATAAACTGTGTCTGAGTCCCATACTGTTAGTGCTTTGCTCCTCTTTGCTTTGAAATTGCCTTGTTTTGTTGCTTTCAAGGTTACTAAGTCTACCTTTTCTTTCCTTCCCATCTCCATGTCTTTTTCGTGCTTCCAGACTGGCCAGAATGGTTATCTCACCGACGGCAGGTTAGTACTGTTTAGCAGACACTGTTTATATCTCTGGATTTCTCTATGGAGGACTGTATGACTCTATAATGATGCTTTTTTCTGATATTAACCGACAGAATCTCCAAAGAAGGCTTTTCTTCTAGTTCTCACAAACGGAGGCAGATTTTTAGGTATCTCTGTGTGACTTACTTTGTACATTGTCCTGCTGAGTAAGTTTGCCCCATGCATGGCTGCTTGTGAAGTTACTGAAGTTGTATTTTTTGCAACATCAATTTCTGAGTCCTTTTTTGCTGATTCATCAATTAAAATGGAGGGGTGGAAGGCGGGAATGGCAGGGAGGAATGGGGAAGCCAGAGGATTCCAGCAGTTTTCAAACCATTCCGCCTCTTGTTTCCCAAAAGGATAGGAAAGCCCCTGCCCTTACAGTGACAGGATCAGCATCCGGATAAGATGGGGTTGTCCCTAATCCCTGATTATAAAGGCTGGATTACTTAATGGTGGCAATGAAGTGTCTCAGGCTTCAATTTCAACCAGAAAATGCTGCAGAGGGCACTGGGAACATGTTTGAACAGCATTTTATTATTAAGTAGTTTTCCCGTGGATGAAAGGGCTGGAAGGATGGAGTTAGCCTGACAAGTCACCTTACATAAATGCCTGCTGCAGGAGGCTGCTGAAGGTATAAGGATAAAGAACAGGATGAAAATGGAGAGACCCTCATGCTTGCTCTCCTCTTGTTTAGTAGCTAAAGCTGTAGAGGTGAAGCATCACTGTATATGAACAGGACAGGAGGATCTAAGCAAGTGTGGGAACAGCTTTGCCACTCTCAGTCCATCACATGGCTCAGGCTGTCCTTGGAGGGACACTGTCGTGGGCAATCAAGTGTCCTCAGCACAATTACAGGGACTGTGTCTTGGAATCTGTGTGTGCCAGTGGCAGGGGGTATAGTTTTCAGATCAGCTATGGGGCTGTAGTAAAACTCGCCCAGCAAGTGGCAAAAAAACCATTGCTGATCTGATTGCAGCTTTGAGAGCTGAGCTGCAGCCAGGGCTGCACTAGGAGCTTTTCTGACTGTTGTGCCCAGTCCCTGAAGAGCTTGGTTAACCTGCTGTCTTTGTTTTGTGGCTCCCGTAGTGGGGAGAGGGAGGATATATGGGCCTCAGGACCCTTTTGAGCTCTGGACAGACACAGACAAGCTCTTGAGGAGATTGGGGTTCCCTCAGTGGTGGTGCTGGAGATGATGTCCGTGTGAACTCCAGAGACTTACCACCCTCAAAGACAAGCATTCAGAGCAATACAGCTGTGTATTTCACTTGTTTGGAAGTCCTGTATTGATGCTGCTGAAGCACAGATCTGATCGCAGAGAGCTCTCTGCTGGTGGACACACTTGGAAACGGGCTGTAGTAAGGCTGATGGAGAGAAAGGCATGGCTGAAGCTGCTGGGGCAGTGCTCTCAGAGCGCGGGGGTGTGGTAGTGTGCCTGGAGTTTGGAGAGCATTTGTAGAAAAAGCAGAACTGTTACGCTGCTGGGTTAGCAGTAATCAGCTTGAGAGGGGTCTGGGTTCTCAGGGAACCAGAGTTAGCAACTGAGTCAGAGCAGAGGCCGTGACATGCCCCTTCCCCACACACACACACAAACACTGCCCCCACCTCTCTAAACATCCCCAGGAGCAGCCTTCAGAGTTCAGTTTGGAGAGAGCCCAAGAGCTTGACAGTGATGCTCGTTAGGTCAACTGTAATGTGGGGGTTGAGGCTGCATAGTCCAATTCCTTCACCTCTTTAGGGATAAAACCGTTGTACTGGTGTTCCAAGAGACGTATTTTCTTTGGTTCTCGCATGCTCCCAGCAACCCAGGACATCACCTCAGAAGTTCCTTCCAAGCCTATCTTTTCCCCTCCACAACTGTGTGGAACTGCTGCTAGGCTCAGCCTGCAGCATTGTGGGAGCTCATTGTAGGAGCGTCTCTTCCAGTGTTGCTTTCTTCACCATTCCCCCCCCCGGGTGAAGGCCCAGGAACCCGTTACTGTGCTTACGATCCTGAGCTGGGCTAATAAACCAGGCGCACTGCTTGGGATGTTTGCTAATGCTCCGTAAAGTCCTGCTGTGGCCAGAGCTGCCCTGGGGCTAAGGGAGGGTTATCAGTGAGAGCACAGCTCTGGGCGTAGCAATTTCCCAGCACGTAGCTGTCCCAGCTGGGCAGGAAGCCTTTCCAGGGCTGGTACGGAAGGTAATCTCACAAGACCTCAATCAGCCTTGTCTCAAGGCTTCTGTTAAAAGCTCCCTGTTCTGAGACGAGGAGGGCTTTGGCAAGGGATCATGCTCTGACCCTGCTGGCATCTCTTCCAGGCTGGGATCTGGCTAGGGAAAAGGGCCAGGAGCCAGCTCTCATCACAGGCCAAGGAAGATCAGCAGTGTCTAGGTCTTCACAGTACATGCCCAGGAAAGCTGTGACCCAGGGGGTGTGTTTGCTGTCAAATCCCTCTACAAAGCGCCAACATGCTGTGTGACAGAGCCAGCTGCTGACTGGGCGCACCACCCCAGTGTGGCAGTACGGATGCAGCACCTGCAGGTCCTGCTGCTGCCCCTTTCCACTGGAGGTGCGGTCTAACTCCTCTGGTCTCTGCAGGGGCAACCGGGACAGTTTGAACCGGGCCTCAGGCAGCCGCCAGAGCAGCACAGAGAGCGAGATAAAGTCGCTGGAGCCTCGGCCGTGGAGCAGCACAGACTCAGATGGCTCCATCCGCAACCTGCGACCACCTGTTACCAAAGCCAGCAGCTTCAGTGGCATCTCCATCCTGACACGGGGGGACAGCATTGGGAGTAGCAAAGGCAGCACTGCCAGCAGAACGTCCCGGGCAGGTACTGTACTGTTTCCCCTGCACACCTTCCGCCGAAGGCCACCTAGCATGACCACCCGTCTTCAGGTGGGGGAACTGGGGCTTGTGGTGCTCTGGTCAGTGACTGGTTAAAATGGGACATGGTTGGCATCATCTGAATGTGTTCAGTACCTAGGCAGCGATATGCCAGTTGGTTCATCTGCTTTTTCAATACTAACCATCAGATTGTTCTTCCCTTTAGCAGAGTTATCTAAGACAAAGGACATTGTTTAGTTCCATACCCTGGAACTCAAACTACCAATTTTCTGTTATTTTCTCTCCTCAGCTGTTCTGCAAGTTATATTGCCATTCCTTTCTGCTCCCCAGAATCCCTCACAGCCCTAAGGAGACTTAGTCAGGGTGAACCATCTGGCACTTTTCTTTGCTTTCCAACAAAGGAAGGCCAGGGAAGGGTGTCACCAATTAGTCTATCTCATCAGACACACAGTCTGTCTCATCAGACAAAGACTGCGTTAGTTGGTATGTGCCTACAGTGTTCTCAGAATGATTCACTATACTCCTGAGAGCAAACATAACAGCAGGGAGCTGGGCCTGCAGCTCTTCAAGAGCTGTTGAATACAGCTCAAGGTTTCAGGAGCACCAAAGGGAATTAGGATCACAAGTCTCTTTGCCTGCTTCAGATCAGTTCTTGATTTTCCATCTAGGTAACACAGAAGGTAGCCCGTGCACAGAGCACGTTATTGTGGGGCATCACTGGTAATCTGTTACTGACAACGGCTTCCTGAGAGGATATGTGCTGCACTTGGCAGGGCACCAGCCCTTCTATCAGTGGGGAGCAGAGTCCTTTATTTTCAACTGACTGCCTGTGAAAGGCATTTGTGGAAGAGGCAGCACAAGTCTTTGCTCTCATTTTAATGTTCCAGTGATAACAGAGGAGCCATATGGTAGCTGGTTACAATTGCTGTGCGCTGTCAATGAGCAAAATCCAGTGTTGTTTCACTGTCTAGCCTCCTCTGTTCTCACTGGTAGGCAGCAGGTCCCCAAATGCTTGAGAGCTGTCATTTTACTGGGGAGGAGAGGCAGATTGGTGATTGTGGGTGATTAGACTGCTCCACAAGAATTCTTTCAAATAAAAGGGATGGATCTAAAAGGCAGCCAGGCTGCTGTTCTAGCACCCAAGCCAGCTTTGAAAACCACACATTCTTCTTGCACCTTCTTTGAAGGTGCCTACATCATCCCTTGGGACCCCGTTTCCATTGTGCTCAGGGCAGCACTTATTCTGATTATTGCAACCACCTCCGGGACTGATTCATCAACTGATGGGAGCAGTTATTTGAAGATCTGTCCCAGCCATGTGGAAAGCAAAGCAAGAGAGGATCTGCTTTTTTTGCTCTCACTGTATTTTTCCTCCAGGTCTCCTCTGGGAACAGAAGCCAATTGCTCTCCAGGCTTTATATAATGGCGAGTGATTAGAAACATCTTACAGTGGCGGGGGGGGGGGGGGGAGAAGAAGAC